TAAAAGTGGTCCAAAAGTTAATATGAAGTATACTTGCAATAATGGACAAAGTCTCACCAAGAAGTTTTATTTGGCAGCAATATTTATGAGACTCTACACAAAATGAGCTAAGAAACTGGAGACCACAAGTAACATTTCTCTACAATAAAAATACTCTTCATTTTAACTCCTCAATATAGGCAATGAAAATGAATAAATACAAGTTGTTAAACAATGAGGAAAAATGAAAAGACTTGGGGTTAATGAACCAGTACAAAACAAAATTAAAGCTCTAGTATTTATAAAAGTATTAAAAAATCCACCGAAACCAGTTTGGCTCAGTGGATAGAGCGTCGGCCTGCGGACCGAAGGGTCCCGGGTTCGATTCCGGTCAAGGGCATGTACCTGGGTTGCGGGCACATCCCCAGTGGGAGATGTGCAGGAGGCAGCTGAGCGATGTTTCTCTCTCATCGATGTTTCTAACTATCTATCTCTCTCCCTTCCTCTCTGTAAAAAATCAATAAAATATATTTAAAAAAAAAAAAAAATCAGTCCTTTCCAAAAAAATGAGAAGCACCTAATAATAAATCTAATAAAGACATTTAATCTGACCATGAACCACATTTAAAAAAAATTTTTGATTAAAATTTAAGGTGAGTAAACTGCATTTAAATGCTAATAAAAATTAAAATAAGTTTTGGTAGATAACTTATTTTTTATTAAAAATAAGCATACAGTAATTCTAACACAGCTATGATATGGTACAAGCCCTAAAAACTTACTTTCACACAAACAACATCTATATATATATGTTATACATATAACACCAACTGATAGGAAATCTTGAGGCAAAACTTAAGTAGTTACATTTTACAGAGTCGCACAAAAAATAACGTTTTTATTTAATAGCTCAACTGGGCTCAGAGATTAAATCACATTTCCACATTAATTAATAAAAGACCTAAAGAAAACAACTAACCAAAATTAAGTATCATCTTTGAAACATTATTTTCATGAAATGTTGGGGTGGTGGGAGGGGAAGACATAGGGGCAAACTATATGCAGTAAAAGTATTTCTCTTCTACAAATAAATACTGCCCAAGCATTTTTTATGACAAGGAAATTCTTATAAAATATCATAGGAATAAGGAGCACTAAGTCACATTTAATCTTTACTTCCCACAATGTGAATTAAGAGAGTTAATAAAAACCAACTCCAAAAGACAAAAATGCCAATATATAGCAACCTAAGAGTATAGAAATTAGTGTAGTGGTTGCACCTGAGGGACTTGACTAGAAACTAGCACAAAGAAACTTTCTAGGGTGATGGACATGCTCTGTATATCTTCAATGGGCTGGAGGTGACACAGTATTGACATTTGCCAAAACATATAAAACTCACTTATATCTGTAAACTGTTCTATTACTACACCTCAATTTTTAAAAACAAAATGCCATGGTATAAATAGAGTTGGATTTTATGAAATATTATCTCCACCACAGGAAATATGCTTAAATCTAAATAAGGAGCAACCTCAATAGACAACTGATATGATTATCTGACTATTCATCTCAAAATGCCTTCACATCCAATACTACTAAAAATAAATTATTTTTCACAAATATTCATTTACACTCAATAATATCACACAATGAATCTATTTATTTACTCAGTACTACATTTAGCAACCAATTCATCACAAAAGATTTGTTAGAAAGCTAAACTGCTCAAGATTGGAAAGATATTCAAGGCAGCAATAGTGAGGGTTTTATACATAATAAACAAATGGACTAATACTACTAATAACTGACAAGTTAACATTATTGAGTGTTTAAAATATGCCAGGTTCTATTCTAAATGCCTTACCAATATTAATTTGATCCTCACAGCAACCGACAGAAGTAGGCACTATTACTATTCCCATTTCACAAATGAAGAAACAGACACAGGAAGTATCTACCTCTAACTACACAGGTCTAACTCTGGCAGTCTAGGAAAAACTTTCTTAATCACTTTGTTCTATTGTCTTTTTAGAATCAGTTGCCTTGAAATTTTCTAGACTAAAATAAAGATTGTGCTCTACGGTATAGAACCTTGGGGTCATCTATACTGCACAGAAGTTCCAGGATAATTTTTAAGGAACAACTTGGGCTTTACTTACAAAGAATACTGGATACCTATCTGTGTGATTAGACTTCTCTATTCTTTTCTTTTTTTTTTTTAAGTAAAACTTATTGTCTACTAATGTGATTTTTTTTAAAAATAAGTACATCCTAACCACATTTCTCATCAAAGAACACCTGGAAGAGGAGCTCTGTGGTATATGAAGCCATGCAGAGCATTCTCTGGTGGCAAGTACTAACCAAAATCTTACATTCCAAAATAATAATTATTTCAGGAAGTTGACAGAACCATATGACTAGTGTTCAAATACAATTTCAAAGACTGTATATTACTTAATAATTGTTTTCAAAATCCCTACATTTTTAATAATACAGTAGTATTTTGTGGTATACCTGTAACCTATTCCACGGAAAATCAGTAAACTGCAGCCCTCTGATTGGGAAGTTCTGCTCTAAGCTATATGGAAAGAATAGCTATTCAACTCCTTTCAACACCCTAGTTGAGAAAAATATTATTTCTGGAGAACTGAATTGTCCGGGGATTTTATGTTTTGTCCTTGGTATGGAATAAACCATTAAAAAGACAATAAATACACTCGGGTTTTGAATGCTTTTTACCTCCATTACTCATTACAAACACCAAGTTACATTTTCAAGCTATACTTCACATTTTCTTAAAGACAACTTTAAGAAACAATGTAATGAAATCTGTTATCACAATTACTACAGAAATATTAATAAGAACATTAACTTGCCCTGGCAAGTATTACTCAATGGTTAGAATATCAGCCTGAGCACCAAAGGGTCACAGGTTCAATTCCTGGTACCTGGGTTGCAGGTTCGATGCCTGGCCCAGTGGGGGCACGTGTGGGAGGCAACCAATCGATCTCTCTCTCCCTCTCCCACCCCCGTTCTACTCTTTAAAACACCAATGGAAAAATATCCTCAGGTGAGGATTAACAAAAAAAGAACATTAACGTATGTGAAATGTTCATAAAGCTCTGCTTCCTTGATATAACAGGTCAATTTTCTCCTCAAGGATCTTGAAAACACATAAAGTATAATATTTTCTTTTATGCCCTAGCCAGTAAAAAGCTCAAAACTTTATTTAAAACGGAACTAAATAAATTATGCTTGCCTTTATAGCCTGATGATCTCTACTCTTTTTTTTTTTTCCGTTGAGTACTTTTAAGATTATTTTTTTTTACATATTTAATTCTTTGCTACCTCACAGCCGTGGGCAAACTACAGCCCGCGGGCCGGATCCAGCCCGTTTGAAATGAATAAAACTATTGAAAAAAAAGACCGTACCCTTTTATGTAATGATGTTTACTTTGAATTTATATTAGTTCACACAAACACTCCATCCATGCTTTTGTTCCGGCCCTCCGGTCCAGTTTAAGAACCCATTGTGGCCCTCGAGTCAAAAAGTTTGCCCACCCCTGCTCTAGAATCTGCTCTGGTATAAATATGTCTTCAATATAGAAGTTTTACTTTCTTTAAACAAATTACCATATCTTTTTTAAAATAACCCACTCCCCAGAGTATTCTATTCTTTCTACTCTTACCTCACCCCATTCCTGCCAATTTTTGTGTTATTTTTGGTCTTTTTTCTGATGGGAGGACTGTATATTACTAAGGTTCAACTACATATATTTGTGTATTTAGTCTTCATACTAACTTAAAGTACTTTGAAAAGGTTATAAGAAAAAGTAGTATAATTTCACTGTGAATTATAAAATAAAACCAGTAGAAATCATCGTTTTTACACCAGCAATCAACTTTAAGGATTAGAAGTTATGATTTTGAGAATTTAAGACTGTCATACTGGAAAAATGGCAAACCCTTAAAATTACAAACTTATCTCTAACAAAGCTAAACCATTCAAAACAAGTCCAGATCAGTAATTAGAACATCTGCTAAGAGGGCTGCCTTCTAACTATTAGGCCCTGTGAAAATCAAGAACACCTCTCTACAGAAGGGAAATACTCAGTTTTTATGCTAGAGGTGGTTTATTCTTTATCTTTACACAGGCTCCCCCTACTGACAGGAAAACAAAACAGACTATGGAATTATGAGGGCAAATTTCATCAACACAAGGAAAAGGAATTCATTTTTTAAATACTTCCAAATCAACATTTTAGATAAAAATAGATTATATAAACTGGCTTTACTACAGTCCCAAGAAGAAAAAAACACTGCCACTGACAATTCAAATAACACATATTTTAAATGTGGTATGTACTATTTCAACCCACTACATTTCAATCTATTTTTTTAAATCCTCACTCAAGGTGTGAGGATATTTTTTCCATCGATTTTTTAGAAAGAGTGGAAGAGTGGATGAGGAAGGAGGGGGGGAAGGGGGGAGGGAAGAGAGAGAAAAAAATCGATGTGAGAAAGACACATCGACTGATCAATTGGCTGCCTCCCACGTGGGCCTTGAGGGTGGGAAGATATCAGACCTGCAACCCAGGCATGTGCCCTTCACCTGGAATGGAACCGATGACCCTAGAGTGTGCAGGTCAACACACTACCATTGAGCCACAACAACCAGGGCCATCCTATGTAATAAAAGGCTAATATGCAAATTGTCCCCTCGACCAGGAGTTTGACCGGGAGTTCAACCGGGAGTTTGACCAGGGGACCGGGCGGCCAGCCAACCGCCTGTGGCCCCTCCCCTTGCTGGCCCCACTCCCAATCAGCCCCCCACCCCAACTGGGGGTGGGGCCAGCTGGCCAACCACCTATGGCCCTTCCCCCCGGCCGGCCCCCACCTGTGCACCAATTCTTGCACCAGGCCTTTAGTTTCAATATAAATCCTTAAATGCAAGAAGAATTAAAGATTTTAAATTCACTTCAATTATTTTTAATAATTTATCATAAGAAAATGTTTACCTGTATCTGTTCTGGTGTCCATTGGTCTAGGTTGACTGACTTGACCCTGGATATATGAACCCCAAGATTTCTATGTATCCCAGCACATCTGATGCAAATAAACACACCAATATTCCAGGAAGCCCATCGGGGACCTAATTAGGGAGAAGAAACAAAGAAAAGCAAATATGAAAAACTAAAATAAATATCATTACAGCACATAAACATCATTCTGTGTTTTTTAATACAATAATAATGAAGGCTTACAGAATTTACATGCTCAAATTTTCAAATGACACCAGCAGCAGATTGATAAGAACACATGTGTGTTGGCTGTACTGAAAGGTTACAAATCAACCTTCAAGAACCTTAATGAGTTTACTAATTTTGCTTTACTAGAAACTTTCCCCCAAATCTAATCAATTCATGTGAACAGTTTTGCATTCCACATATTTGAACCAGGAGTAGTAACATCTCACAGTAAAAAGTAAGTTCTTAAAAGATTACTAACAAATAAAAATCAAAGAGATTTTTAAAAATAAACCTTAGAAATTAGTAAGAATAACCAACCTAATAAAAAAATGGACAGAAAGATATGAATGGGTAATTTACAGAATATATTTAATCTATTAAGTGTTGGCAAGTGTGAGAAACAAGGATTGGCTCCAGAAGCCTTATATCAGATGAATCTCCAATATGACCCTGAGATTTAAAAACTTAACAGATGAAGTAAGATGTGCTATAAAATGTTAGTTCTTTGGATCATGGTCAAAAAATTCGGAAAACACAGTAGAGAAACTCACATAAGTATACAAGAATAGAAGCTTTACTATTCTTCATACCTTTGAATGTTTTTTCTTCCTAAGTTTAAATGTTCTTATGACTATTTTTACATATTCCCTGTATAACAAAGTAAAAATGGAAAAATAAAAATATCTGGAAATTGTGTCAAATAGTCAGAGGCTTATACTAACAGATTTATATGAATCATCCTATATAATAAAGAGCTAATATGCTAATTAGATGGAAGAGCAGAACAACCATCGGACGACCTTCCGGATGAAGCCGGAGCTGTGAGGGCCGGCTGAGGCAGCCGGGGCTACAAGGGCTGAGCCCCTTGCACAAATTTTGTGCATCGGACCTCTAGTTTAACTATAAAAACATATACAGTAAGAGATATGGATAAAAAAATCAAGCTTTAAAAAAAATTTAGACTTCTGTTTTAAGCACATACTTTTTATATGAAGGTCAGAGTCAATCTAAAAAATGAGATTAAAACTAGTAATTATGATGCAGTAAAACTAAATATACTCTCCCAAATTCCTTAGGTGATAGGTTATGCATATACAATTTATGCTAAAATATCCTACTTTTAAATTTAGAAATGACACCTAAAAAGTGACAAACATCTGGGACATGCTCTATTTAAATATTTGTTTCATTGCTAACAGTGTCAAAATAAATTCGAGGCCAAAAGACTTTGTGCTGTCAACCTACTCTGCCACCTTTGAGCTGTATAAATTACACTGGGCAGGGAACACACTGAGAACAAGGTTCTCACCTATAAACAGTTAGGATTGGCTGGCCTCCATTACTTAGATGAGGCTTGTGTGAAAAATATGTTGAACATTTTAAAGCACAACTTAACATATAAGTTAGTGTCATATTAAGAAATTTGGAAAATCAAAATACAATACTTTTTCTCCTCTAGAGAAGTTTCTATATTGATCTGTAAAACAAGTATATCTTAACTTTCCTCAAAAACAATTCCCAAAAAGGCAATGAATCAAGAATGGGAAAACAAAAGATTTTCAAGGCATTTCAAGTGTGTCTTCATTTTTATTCATAAAATAGAATGAACTCCCTCAGAATATCTGCTAAGGGAGCAGAGCAAAATACGAATGGTGACTTTTCTCTAGAGCAGTGTTCCTCATGTAATAACTGATTGAATTAAGCAGAAAGCATCATTTGCATAATGTCAGGACTATCAATGCAGGTAAAAAGCTTAGCACACAATACAGTGGTGCATTTTTACAATAACCAAAGGTTATACAGGGATAAATATATATAAAGAACATGTACAATAATAATGCTAGCAGTAACAAAAAAAAAATGGGACATTACTATTGAGCAAAAACTAAATATAATTGAACTAGTGCTCTGGTGCATGGATTTGTACACATTGAAAGGAAATTAATTAGAAGGTGGCCAGCAGAGCAGGGAGGGACTGGGCAAGATGGGCCAGACACGCCCTGGAGCCAACCTCCCGTGGTTCCTCCCCGGCAGACTGCGCTTGGGACAGCCCTGTGGCTTGAAGGGCATCTGCAGAGTGAGAGGTGCAGCTGGAAGGGCGTCTGGAGAGTGAGAGGGGTCCCTCCGGCAGGTGGGGTCCCTCGGCCTGGCCTGCAGGGATCGAGCCCAAAACCGGCTCTCCGGCATCCCCCGAGGGGTCCCGGATTGCAAGAGGATGGTTCTCGGGTGACGCACACTGGAATCAGGCTCCCTCCTCTCTGGTTCCAGTGTGCGTCACCCGAGAACCGCCACTGGCAAGTCACCGCTGCTCAGCAGCTCCTGCATTGAGTGTCTGCCCCCAGGTGGTCATTGCACATCATAGCTACCGGTCAGACAGTTACTTAGACTTTTATATACATAGATGTTAGGTGATGTTTTAAGTTTTAAACAACTGAATGATATAAAAACCATTTCATTAGTTGCTAAAAGGAAAAAAATTGCTATCACTTATGGAAAACTTTAGTCCTAATCACTTTTGACCAAATTAAATAATAATGTAATTTTGTCAATGCCTCTTTCTTAGGAATATAGCTATCATATCTTAGGAACCTCTAAAAATAAGTTTTTAAAAGCCTAACTGAACTTACAAATGTATTATCCACTCTAAAAAATTAGTCTCATAAATTTACCTAAAACTGCCCTGATAATAGCTGCTCAACAAGGTAGTCAGTGAGTAATTACTGGCATGAAATCCTAATTTTCATTCACCAAACTATTCAATGAGTACTTATCTACTCTGTGATAAGTAAATGCTGTTAAAAGACCATAAACATAAAGTTTCCAACTCAAAAGGCCAAGCCAAATACAAATAGGTATAATCTCTTAAAAAACAACTTGGTGAAACCTAGTCAAATTTTAGGTGAAAAACCCTACCACTAGTCCATCTATTCTCTTTTTCTTCCCTCCCTCCCTCTCATTTTCCCTCCTTGTCTCTCTCTCTCCCTCTCTCTCTCTCTCACAGGTTTATCAATTTATATGTAATATGACACACCTTTGTGCCCTCTACATACAATAGTGCAAATGATGGGGGAGCATAGAAGAAGAAAATATGAATGTTGGCAAAGGATATTAATACAGGCATTGTAGAGATAGTGGCATCTGAAGTGATTACTGCAAGATAAGTCCAGTTATAACAGGTAAAATCTGGATAAGATATAAGGATAAGGTACATTCTAAGTAAAATGTACAGTGCCCCTCCCACCCTAAGTAGTTTCAAATATACTATAGTGTCTAAAAAAATGTATACGCACTTTGATAATTATTCATTCTAATGGGTCCTGAAAAGAAAGAAACATCAATTGAGCTTTAAGAAAAAAGTATGCATACATTTTTTTGGAACACCCTGTATAATGCTGTAGCCAGAAACTACATCATTGCAGCACCTGGTTACTGTTAAGTTTCTCTTATTTAAATATTGATTTGATATTTTTTAAAGTGTGATATATATGCACCTAAAATCAGTACCAAATGACTAATAACTTTCAAGCTACAAAAGCGCTGTAGAAAGTGGAAAATGAGGTTTACTGAAGGATGAATCATCTACTAGTACAGTGGGGCCTTGACTTACGAGTGTCCCAACTTACGAGTTTTTTGAGATACCAGCTGTCTCTCGGATGATTTTTTGCATTGAGTTGACAGAGTAATTTGAGTTAACGAGCTCCTTAATGAGCTCGGTCTCGGAACAAATTAAACTTATAAGTCAAGGCCCCACTGTATATAATAAAAGCCCAGTGACCATTACACTGGAATGAACAGAACGACCGGTCACTATGACGTGCACTGACCACCAGGGGGAAGATGCTCAATGCAGGAGCTGCTCCCTAGTGGTCAGTGTGCTCCCACAGCTGGAGCACCACTCAGCCAGAAGCCAGGCTCATGGCTGGTGAGCACAGAGGCAGTGGCAGTGGCGGGAGCCTCTCCCGCCTCCCTAGCAGTCCTAAGGAGCATCAAGCCAAGTGGTAAGGAGCGAGCAGACAGGCAGTTAGGAGCGAGGGGTCCAGGACTGCAAGAGGGCGCAGGCCAGGCTGAGCCACCCCCCCGCCCTTCGCACAAATTGGGGGGGGGGCCCAATGCACAAAATTCATGCACTGGGGGGGGGGGGTGTGAATAATTGTTGAGGTTAATAATAAGGATTTAAAAATGCAAGTAATTGTCATCTCTCCAGAATTACCAATCCTTCCCAAATTATAAATTCACTTTATTTCTTTCCTAATAATACACAAGGTTAGAGGCAGTAAAACTAGGTTTGATTTGGTTTGGTTTTATTTGTTGGAGAAAGAAATAGCAAAAGATAGAGAATTTTAATCAAGGAGGAACAGAGGAGAAGAGGAGGACAAAATTAACTGGGATGTAAAGGGCAATTCAAAAGGCAGCATCACAGTGTGCCCAGAGGATGTACACACCAAAGCAATAAAAGGATCTGAAAGAGAAGCTACCTGCATCAAAATATTGTCCAGGATCAAGCATGAAACCAGAAGACACTCTTTCTGTTTCGTTACCCCAAGGTCCTTTTGTTCTTTACCCAAGAGTGACTAGCCTTTCACTGTTCACAGTCAGCTATGTTATGGATTAGGTACACTTGTGAAGGACCAAGAGAAGCAAGCAACAACCCATGAAAATATGTTTTCCAAACTGTAAATTTAACTATAAATTTGCAAAAGAACCTGTACTATGTGATGGGGGTAGAAGAGGAGGGAGGGATTACTGCAAATAAGCATGAGAAATCTTTGTGTAATAATGGAAATGTTCTAAAATTCTACATGGTGATAGTTTCAAAATTCTGTTAATACATTAAAATCACTGAAATTATACACTTAAAATAAGTAAATTTTAGAGTATATAAATTATACCTCAATAAGGCTGT